ACAACATGGTTTATGCAGAGCCACTGCTGCACTCCAGGGAATGCAGAATTTTGGTCTGTGCTAGCCAGAGGGCTCCTACGTGACCAAAGAAAGCTCCAAAGAAAACCTTGGCCACTGTGTCCCAAGGGACCTGCCCTGGTAGACATCAGTTCATGGATGTTACAGTTCGATGCTGGAGGAGTTAAGCATGTCCTGCCTGAGTCGAGCCCACGGGGAGATGACTCAAAAGCTCGGGCCCAGTTTCCTCCAGGCTTCACTCCTCCTCCCTGAGATGTTGCTTTGTGTCTTTTGCTCTGATAAATCATAACTGCAGATACAAGTGTGAGTCCTCCCAGTGAAACTTGGGACTGGTCTGGGGAATCCTGGACACAGGTAGGTACTGTTACCATAGTTTAATGACGAAATTGAAGCCTAGAAAGGAAATAAGTTGCCTAAGATCACACGGCAAATAAGTGGTACAACCCGGATCCCAAGGCCGAGCCTCCAGCTCCAAACCCTCTCTGCTCTACTATGCTCTTCCCTCTTCCCTCACAGCATTTTAAAAATATTTATTTATGGCTGGGCTAGGTCTTCACTGCTGCGTGCGGGCTTTCTCTAGCTGCGGTGAGCGGGGACTCCTCTCAGCTGCGGTGCTCAGTCTCACGGTGGGAGCTTCGCTCGCTGCAGGTCACAGACTCCAGGGCGCACGCGCGTCATTCGTCACACACAGGCTCAGCAGTTGTGACTCGCAGGCTCTGGAGCGCAGGCTCAATTGTTGTTGCACACAGGCTGAGCTGCACGTGGAATCTTCCCAGACCAGGGATCGAACCCAAGTCCCCTGCACGGGGAGGCAGACTCTTATCCACTGCAGTTTTCTATCAAGTTTTCTAGAAAACAACTTGGAGCATTCACATCATATAGTCACTTCCACCAAAACTAGTCCTGCCACTTCCCTCCATTCCTCTAGGTCTCGAAAAGTAAATCTAGAAAAGCAGGGATCAAAGCTGGATTGCTCGACAGAAGTGTATGGACTATAAACTACTCATAACTTTCTCCTTAGCTAAAGGATTTGCTGAACTGTTTTTCGGTTTTTTTTACAGCAAAAACCAGTCCTCAGCCTTCATCTGTCTAGAAGTTACAGTAATGTTGAGACTAATAAGTCACCAACCACTAGGGGCAGCAGAGAGCAAACTTTCTTCTGAGATGCCGCCTCAATTTCAAATTTCAAAGCAAGAAAAGAAAAAAATGAAAAATTATGAAGAAAATCTGTACAAACCTAGAATATGGATTTTTCTTAAGAAGATTGAAAAGGTACAATCCATAAATTCAATTGCACTAAACTTAAACTTCTGTCCATCTAAAAATACCATTAGAACAATGAAAAGGCAAGCCACAACCTGGAAGAAGATATTTGCAACTTAACGTAACTAGATAGAGGATTAGAATTCAGAAAAATTTTTACATTCAATCTATGAGAAAGAGACAACTCAATTTTTAAAAAGGGGTATAAGACATAAACAAGCATTTGATAGGAAAAAAAATGTGAAAAGATATTCATCTTCACTGTAATCAGGGAAATACAAATTAAACCCCCAAATAATAGGCCGTTTCATACGCACTAGGTAAGTGAAAATCAGATGCAGAGATGAAAGTATGATGTGGGTAGGGATGTTTTGCTTGTTTTGTTCTCTGATTATCAGTCCATTCAAGCTGCTATAACAAAACACCATAGACAGAGAATTTTTTTTTTTTAAGATGCTGCTGGGTCTTCGTTGCTTCGCACAGGCTTTCTCTAGTTGCAATGCTAGGGCTTCTCATTGCGGTGGCTTCTCTTGTTGCAAAGCACAGGCCCTAGGGCACACTGGCTTCAGTGGTTGCAGCGCACAGGCTTAGTTGCTCCAAGGCACGTGGAATCTTCAGGGACCAGCGACTGAACCACATCCCCTGCATCAGCAGGCAGATTCTTATCCACTACAACACCAGGAAAGTTCAAAAGGGTGAATTTTTATTGAACATTAAGTGTACCTTAATAAACCTGTACTTCTTTTAAATCACTTTGTATGGACTGGAAGGTGGCAAGAAGCTGGGGTGCAGGGAAAGTTTGAGTACTTTGCAAATGCCCAAGTGGAGATATTAAGAAGACAGCTGCTATGAGTCCACCCTTCTTATCTTCATCACAAAAGTCATGCTCTTTGGTATTTTTGTACTTAACTGTTGAATTAAGAGATCCTTACCTGCACAGTCCACCAACTCCCCCTCTTTGCAAGTAGAAACTAATCTCCATCTTCCTACTTCCCTGAACTGTACCTTCGCATACCAGAGCCACTGGCCGCAAGTGGCTATTTAATGTCAATCAATTAAAATCTAATTAAATTTTAAAATATGGTATCTCTGTCACACTGCTGCTGCTGCTAAATTGTGTCAGTCGTGTCCGACTCTGTGCGACCCCATAGAATCCCCCTGGGATTCTCCAGGCAAGAGTACTGGAGTGGGTTGCCATTTCCTTCTCTGTGACACTAGACCCATTTAAATTGTTGAAGACCCACATGTCCATCAACTCAGAAAGTTCTAGTGGATAGTGTTGCTCTAGCAAACTATCACTAAGTTTTCTTAGCGTTCACATGCATTGATCTCACTGACTCCAGCGCCTACTTCAGAGTGGATGCCAAGCGGCACAGGCTCCTCACTAGTAATCGGTGAAACTAACATACGTTTTATAAAGTAAACAACACATATAAAATGTAAAAGAGAGTTTCATCTTTCAGACTACCAGTTTTTCTCTGAAAAATCTAAGCTTTCCATTTTTTAAAATTAATTATTCATTTGGCTGCATCCAGTCTTAGCTGCCGCATGCTGGCTCTCCACTTGCTCTGGGTTGTGGCAGGCAGATTTAGTTGCCCCATGACATGTGGGATCCCAGTTCCCAGACCAGGGATTGAACCCATGTCCCCTGAATTATAAGGCAGATTCTTAACCACTGGACCACCAGCAAAGTCCTTAAGAGCTTTAAATCTTTTTAATGATTTTTTAAAGTGGTGGGGTGTTTGGAAAAGTTTCTTGTTCTGCTCTGCAGAAAGGCGATATGAAGAGTTAACTTCTTCTTTCTACATTAATTAAATAGTTAATAAAATGGGTCCCAGTAGGTCCCTATCCCTCCCAAAGACCACCAAAATCAATCACAAAACCATGCTAATTCACACTAAGACATACTCTTCCAAATGAACAGAAAAATCAGACAGAAAAACAGAAACTCCTACAAGGCAGTTAGATTACTCAATTTACTTTGTTCTCTAAGACAACTGCTGTTTAGGTTTAATTATTCTATACAACTTCATAGCATCCTAATATCTGTGTCAGCACCCTCTCTGCAGGTCTTTCCAATTACATCTCCGCAGAGAAGTAGGGGTGAGACTACCTGGGTTTCTGTGAAAATTAAAGGGTTTGCAGATTAGTAGCTTCCAAATTAGCAGGCTCAGAGGTAGGACACATGACTCGGTCTCCAGTGAAAGCAATTAACAAGAAGGGTAACAGGAATACGGTTCTTTTTCCCTGGGAGTCTGGCACCTTCCTTCCTTCCAGAGACATCATGCTGACAGTGCAAAGTGCTTTTAGGATCCTTTAATCCAAATGCGGTTGCTCAAATTCCCCACGGTTGCTGTGTATCAAGGGCACCACAGAGCAAACTGGTGGGAGGTTCTCCACTCCTTCATCTTCATGGCAAAAGAAGGAACCACATCATCCCCTTATCATAAATCCAGATTCCCCTTCAGTAAAGATCACCTTGGCACCAAGACAGTGCCTGGCACAGCATGCACGTGGCAAAAGTTCAGCAAACCTTTACTGAACAAGTGAGTGCATGAAAGCCAGTCACAGAGAAGCTATTCAATAAATAAGTGTGTGATGAACGAAGAGAAACACCAAGACACTGTCCTAGGTGCTGGGGCGGGGCCGGGGGGTGGGCACGATATTTCTCGTGGAATGACTGTATGATAGACTCACACAGTATGAAGCAGGGTAGTGTAATGGGCCGAATAAGGCCCTGGGGCCAGATGACTGTGCTCAAATCCCAGTGGGATCACATAATGAGAGGCCATGGCCAAGTCACTTGGAATCAGCCAAATGAGGAACAGCTTCCCCAAAGGGAAAAGAAAAGGAGTTAAATCTACTAACCTTGCATGATTTTTCATGCATTATTAAAACAAAATGTAGATAAATCACTTAGCACAAAGCCCAGCATATGGAAGAAATGATATAGAAAGCTGGTAAAAATGTCTAGTAAGTAGGAGCTTTCCTTTAGGTTCACCCTGTGTCCAGCACTGTGCCATATTCTAAATGTATGACCTCATAAAATTCTCAAACCAGCCCTATGAGGTAGGCACGATTCGTACCTCTTACAGGTAAGAAAACATGAGCAGAGGTTGAGGACTGGCTAAGAGCTGAGGCGGGATTCGAACCCGCGTTAATACATGAGCATACTCCTATTCGCTGTACGATATTTTTCACTATTCTAGAATCAGTGAACACTTAGAAGCTTAGACGCTGAAACAGGCACTTTGCATGCAGTTTTGGTTTTTGTTTTTTTTTTTAATCGAATCCACTCCAAAGTCCCGTGAGGCAGGGAAATCCATGCATCTGAGGCTCAGAGAAGCTCTGTAACAAGCCCAAAATCACCAGGCGCGGGGGCTGCAAACACCCCCTCGCTCACCACTCTGGTCCTGGGAAGCCTCCGCTCAGCGCTCACAAACCCACAATCTCGGCACTTAGGTGTCCCGAGGCAGACCCCACTCCCTGTATCCAGGAAGGGAACCCCGAAACCCCGCCAATGGCAGCCCCAACCACCCCCAACGGTCATCCAAGCTCCCCTCGCCCGCCCGGGTCTGACAGCTTCTGGCCACTCTCTTGCCCACCTCCCCAGCCGGGCTGGGGGTCGCCCCGACGACCCCGAGACAGACACGGCCGCGTGGGGGAGGGGAACCAGGAAGGGCGCATGCTCGGAAGGCCCCATTGGCGCCGTAGCTCACCTGGGAGTCGCGGAACTCCACCACCACGTTCTCGCTGCTCCATCGCGCCGCCATCGCCAGCGCCCAGCCGCGGGGGCCACAGGACTACGCGCTCCCACCCCCCGCACCCGCGTTCCCGGGCTCAGTAAGCCCCACTCAGCCCTCAGGTCCGCCCCGCCACGCCCCGCCCGTCTGGTCGCACGCCATTGGCTCACACACCACTGGGTACGTCCCCACTCCTCGGTTCCTCCAATTCCGGCTCCGTGCAGGCCCCGAGACGGGCACGCCCCCTTCCTCCGTCACTCAGCTCGGGCCACCCTCGCTTCTCGGGGCTGTGAAGATACGCCCCCTTGCCGCAAGTTCTGCCGGGAGTTGTAGTCCAAGGTTGAGCCGCAACCCGGGCAGAGCTTGCAGGTTAGGGTTTGGCTCAGGGGAGGGAGATGTTCTCCTCTGGCCTGGGTCCTTGGCAAGGCCCAGGCCGTGGATAACGAAAGCCGGACATTAGTGCAGACCAATGGTTACCAGACCCAGCTGCAGGGAAAGACTGAGGGAGCAGGGGAAGGGAGCGACGAAGGATGAGATGGTTGGGAGGCATCATCAACACAAAGGACAAACAGAGATAATGAAATACAGGGAAGCCTGGCGTGCTGCAGCCCACGGGGCCGCGAAGAATCCAAAGAGAGGGACACAGCTTAGCCTCTGAATAGCGACAACGGTTACTTCTTCCCCAGAGGGCTGCCACAAAGGCATTGAAAAGCGCCCGCACACGACTCGTTTCTGGAGAGGATAGCTCTTGCCTTCTCCAGGGAATCTTCCCAACCCAGGGGTTGAACCCAGGTCTCCCGCATTGCAGGCAGACTCTACCGTTTGAGCCACGGGGGAAGTCCATTCAGTACAGCAGTGCCTGCCAAAGTATCCAAGGACGGAGGGGGAGTGCGCTTACAAAGGCCAAACAATTTTCATAGTGATCCGAACAAGTTATTTGTCTTTTCTACTGTGTTTCACCAGTGTACAGTGGAGTTTTCCACGGCTACATGATACATATTTGTAACACATTGAACAAAGCAGATGTGAAAATACAGAGGTTTTCTATTAAGCCAGTTATTAAGGAGATCTGCCACTCTTCTCACTAAAGCTTTTTTGTTTTTAAAAATAAAGTTTTTTTTCACTTATAAAATGTGTTAGTAATGTTAATATTTTATATTAACTGAGCTACTGAACAACAGCAACGTTAATATGCATTAATGTTTAAATGAAATAATTTTTTTAAATTCTGTTTTAATTTCTGATGTACTAAATATAGCACACATAAAAGATATGGGGGGTCATTAGTAATTTTTTAGGAGTCTAAAGGGGTCTTGAGATCCAAAAGTTGGAGAAAATGTGTTAGCATGGGGAACGGTGATTAAGTTCTCTTTTTCAGCCTCAGCCTTTCAAATCCTGGACTTAACTGGCTTAGCCTCAATTTCTCTATCAGTTCAGTTCAGTTCAGTTTAGTTTTGTGTCCGAGTCCCTGTGACCCCATGGACTGCAGCACGCCAGGCCTCCCTGTCCATCACCAACTCTGGGATCTTACTCAAACTCATGTCCATTGGGTCGGTGATGCCATCCAACCATCTCACCTCTGTCGTCCCCTTCTCCTCCTGCCTTCAATCTTTCCCAGCATCAGAGTCTTTCAAATGAGTCAGCTCTTCGCATCAGGTATTGGAGTTTCAGCTTCAACATCAGTCCTTCCAAAGAACATTCAGGACTGATTTCCTTTAGGATGGACTGGTTGGATCCTTTCAGTCCAAGGGACTCTCAAGAGTCTTCTCCAACACCACAGTTCAAAAGGATCAATTCTTCAGGGCTCAGCTTTCTTTATAGTCCAACTCTCACATACATACATACATGACTACTGGAAAAACCATAGCCTTAACGAGATGGACCTTTGTTGGCAAAGTAATGTCTCTGCTTTTTAATGTGCTGTCTAGGTTGGTCATAACTTTTCTTCAAGGAGTAAGCGTCTTTTTATTTCATGGCTGCAATCACCATCTGCAGTGATTTTGGAGCCCCCAAAAATAAAGTCAGCCACTGTTTCCACTGTTTCTCCATCTATTTGCCATGAAGTGATGGGGCCAGATGCCATGATCTTAGTTTTCTGAATGTTAAGCTTTAAGCCAACTTTTTCACTCTCCTCTTTCACTTTCATCAAGAGGCTTTTTAGTTCCTCTTCGCTTTTCTGCCATAAGGGTGGTGACATCTGCATGTCTGAGGTTATTGATATTTCTCCCGGCAATCTTGATTCCAGCTTGTGCTTCATCCAGCCCTGCATTTCTCATGATGTACTCTGCATATAAGTTAAATAAGCAGGGTGACAGTATACAGCCCTGGCATATTCCTTTTCCTATTTGGAACCAGTCTGTTGTTCCATATCCAGTTCTAACTGTGGCTTCCTGACCTACACACAGATTTCTCAAGAGGCAGGTCAGGTGGTCTCGTACTCCCATCTCTTTCAGAATTTTCCACAGTTTATTGTGATCCACACAGTCAAAGGCTTTGGCATAGTCAATAAAGCAGAAATAGATGAATTTCTGGAACTGTCTTGCTTTTTCAATGATCCAGCAGATGTTGGCAATTTGATCTCTGGTTCCCCTGACTTTTCTAAAACCAGCTTGAACATCTGGAATTTCATGGTTCACGTATTGTTGAAGCCCAGTTTGGAGAATTTTGAGCATTACTTTGCTAGTGTGAGATGAGTGCAATTGTGTAGTGTAGTAGTTTGAGCATTCTTTGGCATTGCCTTTCTTTGGGACAATTTCTCTATAGAAGGAAGAAATTCATTTGTTGTTGTAAGGAGTTAAGCAAGTACAGGGCCTGGAATATAGTGAATAAAGTGTAAGCTATCATTATTGTTGTTAAAATTATAGCTATTTATTTCTACATGCAAGTTGTGACATGAATAGAGATGAAAGGCTTCCTTTCCCTCTTGGAGTGTGGATTTAATGGGAAGATGGACTTGTCAGTGGGTTAGAAAGACCAACTCATGCCTGGAAACTGCTCAATGTGGGTAAACAGGGACAAAACAGTATACACTTAGCAGAACTGTGTTTTATGAAAGCAATGTGCCAGAAGAAAGCAGCTTAAATGGGAGACCTGACACATAACACCCTGAAGACAGTAACATTTGAGCTTTACAGTATATTTTAGGATTTTTGATCGAGTCCTCTATTTTAAAAGGTACTTCAGCATTATAAAGTGTGAAGAGCAGGATGTGTTCCAAAGACAAAACAGTTCCCCAATTAACACACACAACACTGTGGCTTCTTCCTTTCCTTCAATATACACATCAATTTGTAACGCAATATTTATTTGTTTATTGAGTATTTTCAAGCACTGGAAGGACAGGGCCCAGGTCTGTTTTGTTCAGCCTTGCATGGTGACAGCAAGCACATGGCACTGCATAAATACTGGTCCAATGAATAAAGGTAAAAAGTGTATGTCGTGCTCCCCAGTGCTGTCTACATCAAAAGGATGCCTTCTATGAAAGCAAAAACAGTTCCTAAAACAATTCAAGGTCCTTACTTGTAATTCCTTACACCCAGAAAGTAACACAGAATCACCAATAGTGCTCCCTAAAATCCCTTGCTTTCTTTCTCGTTCACGTATCAGACATACCCACACAACCCAGTCCTTAAATATCTCCTCCAGCCCTGGCCTCCAAACTCCTGCACTGGACTTTATTCCTACCTTACTGTTACTTCCCAATTCTCCATCAAAAAAGCTAAAGACTGCTCTGAAGAGAAGGGTATCAGCTCAAAGAGCCAGGAAAGGGGAAAACTGCAAGCCAGAGTCAAGGGCAGGAGATAGAAAGATCACCCAGGAATGGGTTTCCATTTCCTTCTCCAGGGAATCTTCCCAATCAGGGATTAAATCCGTATCTCCTACTTGGCAGGTTCTTTACCACTGAGCCACCATCTGAGAAGCCCTAGGATGTAGTTCAGTTACTCAGTCGTGTCCTACTCTTTGCGATCCCACGGACTGCAGCACGCCAGGCTTCCCTGTCCTTCACCATCTCCTGGAAGCTGCTCAAACTAATGTCCATTCAGTCAGTGATGCCATCCAACTGAAACTGTTTACCAGGGTTTGGGACTCAAACCCACATGGCCGGGACTCAAAGCCAGCCAAAACACACAGTATCTGGTTTCAGGACCTAATGAAGCTCAGGTTCTTGATGTCTCGTGGCGGAAAGAACTCAGTGAGAGACAAAGTGGTAGGTAAGAAGTGGATTTATTCTGATACAGAAGCACAGTCCAGAGCCAGCGTGGGCCATCCTAGAGACCCAATGTGGTCTCAAAATTTGGCGTGGTTAGTTATTATAGGCTGGGCAATTTCGTAGGCTAATGAGTGGGAGGATTATTCCAACTATTTTGGGGAAGGGGTGGAGATTTCCAGGATTTGGGCACCGCCCACTCCTTGGTCTTTTGACAGTGCCTTGGAACTGTCACACACCTCTGGGTGTGTCATTGCATTTGCTGATTCAGGATTAAGGTCTAGTCTTGTCTGCCATCTTGGTCCCATTTTATTCTAGTTGGTTTATGTTGTGTCCTTGGGCTATGTCATTCTTTCAAAAGTTGTGCCCTGCCCCTTTCCCTCCTGTTACATTCACCCCTCAGAGATTTTACTCCCATATTCTTATGGGAAGAAGAAGGGCAAAGGTCCATCTTCTGTAATTGCCTGGAGGCCCTTGTTTTAGTCCACAGGGGCTGAAATCCCTACATAGCCAGCATCTTGATGTAGAACTGTTGTAACTGGTTCCTTAGTTTTTCTATGTATCTTTTTGATGATGAAGCATTTTTGTATCAACACCAGTGTAAAGAAATATCTATAAATGACAAAAAACTCAAAAGACATGGTCAAACATCTGATTACAGTGTACAATAAACTTTGGTTACAATAACCAGAATTAGAAATGATCACATTTAACATAACATACCAAATAACCTTAGTTAAATACTTCCCTTTGAGATACCTCAGGAGCCCTCTAAAACATCCCAAAGTCAGTTTGTAGTCAGACAAGATCATAAGTCATTGGA